AGCTTACATCATCTATCCCATGATCATTAGATAACCCTCTTTATATGCACAGTCCATCACAACTCCTGATATCTATCAATCAAGGATGGCATGATGGCATGGCAGCTCCAGTGTGGCACATCTGAGGGCATCAGGCTGGATAAGCCTGACAGACAAATTAGCTGGGAAGGGGGCAGCAATGGCTGGCAAGCCCTCCCCTGTCAGTCTCCTGCCTCCTTACCTCCCTTTCATCAGATCACGCAGACCCCATAGAGAACAATCTTGAGGCCGCCTGATACACAAGCAACCTGCAGATTTCAGGTGATTGGGCAGGGACAGCCTCTACTTTCCTGGGAAAACTTGAGTCACTTCCTTGTCCCCCTTTCGGCTCCCTTTGCCCCCAATCACAATTCTGTTGGTGTGATTAGCAAAAGTCATCGTTTGCCACAGTTCAGCTCCTCCTTTCCACTCAGGTCTCTAGAAGATAAAGCCCCGGGAAGGAAGGGGAGTGGATGCCTTTTGGTTCATGTGTGCATAGATGCCCACATGCACATGTGTGAATGATAAGGCATACTTTTCACTCTGCCATTGCCAAAGTATATTTTTAACTGTTGAGCACCTTCCTGTGTAATATCTGTTTACAGGAAAGGGCAACCAGCTTCCTATCTTAAAAAAGAGTGAAAAAGGAGCTATTCCAGAGTAGATGGTGATTACAGCATACCAAAGCAGAAAGGCACAGACTTTCCCAAGTGGAGGTCTCCTAGGCTACAACTCTCGTCCTTCCTGATCATCAGGCATGCTGGCTGAGAATGCTGGGAGTTGGAGTCCAAAAATAGCTGGGACCCAGTCTTGGGAAAACCAGTCAGTAGTACCATCAGCACTGGTAGCAGTGGGGATTGCAGAAGCAGCTCAGACACGGGCCACCTAGGAACCCCCAAAGGGTGTTTGGACTATAGCTCCCATCATTTCCTGTGAGGATGGGGATGATGGGAATCAGAGTGCAACACCTAGAGGGTGCAAGGTATGGAAGGCTGATTTTTGGTATAAAAACTGAAATGTTACAGAGCCTTTCCCTCTACAAAAAATTGGAGGAGATGCTAAAAGCAGGTCCATTGCTAAAGAGTCTGGTGTGACAGAAGCGGGCCTGCCATCTGGCTTGACTTCTTTGCGTTTCCCATATAGGTTTCCCTGCAGGCTGGTATCTGTGGATTAGGGCAGGCAGCGTGGGGTGTTTAACCCTTTCCTCCCTTGCTGCACCCCTTGGGAAAATCCCTCTTCTAACACTGTTCTGATCAGGATTCTAGCTCATTGGAACAGCTGAGTGAGGCTGATAGGGGCTGTAGTCCATAATCCCCCCACATGGCCCAACTGCTAGTTTTATTTTACCCTGCACATATCTTCCTGTGCCCTACTTCAAAGCAGCCAACATGGGGAATTATGGGAGCTGTAGTCCAACACATTTGGAGAACACCAGGTTTGGCACGGCTTGCCTGATGGCTTGGTTCCTACTTCCTGCCAAAGAGGGAGTGCTTGCTTGGATTGTGAGGAGCCGTGGGGTTGGGGGCACTTCTGCTGCACCCACAGTCAGAGAGACCTCTGGCATGGGACGGATCCTTCCCCTCTTCCTCTCTCCCACTTGGAAGGAAGAAATAAGGAGGAAGAGGCATTCTGCCTACTGCAACCCACAAGCCTGTCCTGCTGTGGCAGCTGCGGTTTATCTCTGGGAAGTGGCAGCTGCTCTCCCTCAGCATAGCACTCTGCTGCCCTCACACGGACAGGTGACAGCTCCCTTTTGAAAGCAAGGAGTCACTTGTTGATGCCCAGCCACTGGCCCTGCTGGCTGGGGCTGCTGGGAGCTGCAGTCCAAGTAACCCGGAGTGTACCAGGCTGGGGAAGGCTGACTGCTTGCAAGGCATGTCTGTTGCATTGTCCTATAGCAACTACAGGGCTTACAAATCTGTCTATGAAAATACACACAAACCCACAGCAGACACAAATGAAATGCAAATGCATCCTTTCGGGGCAAGTGAGTCCTTAAATGTGTTGGACTGCTGCAATTCCCATCCGCCCCCGGGCCCAATGGTCAGGGTTGGTAGGAGCATTAGGCTAACTTACCTGAAAGGGACCAGACTGGGAGATGCTCAAGAGAAGACAAGGAAAGGCATGGAGAGGGTCTGCCTGCCAGTTCAGAGAACGCTCTTCTTTCCTAGGGAACCCGAGGGGAGTGGGAGCAACAGGCCATCGTCCTGCCGCCTGTGGGCAGCTGCACGCAGATCATGGAGGCGATGAGCCACCTCTGTGGCTTGCCCTCAGGATCTGGTGGGCTGAGGAAGTGCCATAAGTTAGACTGGCTCATTGGCCCTGAGGGTTTCCACGCCCCCACCCCCGCAACCTCTTGGATATGGCAGGCTCTCTTCTAAGCTCAGCCCTTCCGAGCAAGCAGTGGCCTTTTCCACGGCGGCACAACTCACCTTCAGTGCAGTGAGAGACGCAGGGCCACAAACACACCATCACCTCCATCCTGATCTAGCAGCTCTGCCTTTTTGCTTCCATTTTTACTCTAGAGTCACTGCACGCCCCCAATCTAGATCAGGACCTATGGGGGGGGGGCGCATTTTAAGATCTAGAGCAGGCACAACGCACCTACTCTAGAGTGAATTTTTAAAAAAATGTATCTGCTTGATACGAATTTAAAGCAACGCTTCTTTTGGCCCGGATATCCTTTCTGCTCATTGCAGGGCAGATATTTCTGCTCTTCTCCTAGCAAAATGGGTGATGCTTATCACCGGTGGTAACCATGCTCCTTTCACTGACTGGAGGAGGGCTTCTTTTCTCTGTCCATTCAGGTCTATTTTTAAACACAGCCTCCAGGGGCTAGGATTGATTGGCTTACGGGCATCTCTGTGGTTCAGGCCTTCTCCCTGCAGCTCAGGTTCCACACAGCTCCCCAGTTCCACCTGCCTCACAACTGCACTCACATCCCTTGAGCCCACAGAAGGCAGAGGGGCATTTCCCAAGCTACCCTTCTCCCAAATTCCTATCCTTATATGTACAGTGGCTCTGAAGTGTTGCATATATACAATCAGAACCAAATCATACATTTTGCTCTTAGAATAAATTATGCAAAATGGACAAGTTCAATCCCCTTTCCCAAGAAACCCTCACTTCATTTGAAAGCTTGATTTTTTTTTTTACAAATTTTTGGCACAAATGTGTGCTGAAAAAAGAATGAAGGAAGCAAAACTGAAACATTAAAAACCGAAGAGAAAAAGAATTGACGCCTCCTGAAACCTCCTATAGTGTCTCTGTGGTTCTTAACAGGATGTAAAGAGGGACCATAGTCCAATGGCAGAGCATGTGCTTTGCACGCATACAAGCCCAGGTTTGATTTCTGGCATCATCATCCTGCATTTATAGCCTTACTTCCTCTTGCAAGGAACCCAAGACAGCTTACAAATTTTTCCTCCCCTCCATGTTTATCCTCACAACAACCCTGTGAGGAAAGTGAGGATGAGAGGCAGTCACTGCCCCAAAGTCACCCAGTGGGCTTCTTGGCTGAGTGGGGACTAGAGCCAGATCTTCTGGATACCCAGTCTAACACTCTAACCACTACACCATACTCACCAACATCTCAAGGTAGGGTAGGAAAAATTCCTGCCTGTAATCCTGAAGAACCATTGCCAGACAGTGCAGACAATACTGCCTTAAACAGAATCATGGTTGACCTCAATTAAGACAGCTTCCTAATTTTTTTTACCTTTCTGGACTATTTTTTTCTTCTCTGACCATGAGAACTAGAAGCTTGTACTTTGTTTTTGCTAGGAGAATCTCAAAACGCCGCCAAATGCATTGGATTTGCCTTTAGCAGCTAAATTCAGAGCTTTACAGTTTGACCAAGTTTATGCCACGTTGTGAGAAACCTGCTTGTGGTTTCATCAGCCAAAGTGGCCTAAAGGTGCAGGGAGATATATCTCCTAGGTTCTTCCAATCCCATGGTTCAAGCGCATCGCATTAACACAATGACATGAGTACACAGGAAGTGCTGCCTGTACGCAGTTCAGTACAGATGAAATGCACATGGAGATGGAGGCATATGACCACAGTCATGAAACATGAACAATGTTCCAGAGGAAACATCCAGAACAAAATCACTAATGTTTGCAAAGCACACTTGAAAGATGAGGCAAACACAGGGACACACACGGGCAGCTGACAGTATATGTCCTAATGGGAAGTCGTAAAAGAGCATGAATACTGGCACGCCAGTTGCAATATATGAATGGAACATGAATGCTGTGCTGAAACGGCACATATAATTGAGAAAATGTACTCACAGTATACACAGAGAACTACACTGGCTGAGCCTAAGTGTTGTCCACACACACATGCATGCACATGGAAATGATTTGCAGAAAAGCTGACAAGCATCAGACACAGAGAAATGAGCGATTCAATGGCAGCACAAACATCACAGATAATGCCCCCATCGTGCCCCAAGTACTTCACACAATACTGTACATTCCCCAAACTGACACGTATTCCTCGGAGTCAGAAAACACACGCACTGTATAGCAGCATGTTGTACACACTGGGCTTCCTGCTACCCACATGTGCTGTTGGATAACCATGATACACTTTGGGCAAGAACTCCCCTCGGCTGTTCCAGCGCAGCACTGTTGCCATTGACACAAATCCACACTCAGGATCACGCCGGGGAGGCGGTTCCCGCCATCCTCTTCCCTCTCTCAGGTCCTGAAATGCTGCTTCCCCAACCTGGTACCCTGCAGATGCTTTGCACTACAAATTCCAGCATTCCTGACCTTGGCCATGGGAGCTTGGGCTGATGATGGGCGTTGAACTCCAGGAACATCTCGAGGGCACCAGACTAGGGAAGCGGCTGTGGTCCCATGAACTGGGGATTTGCCCAGCGCTTGGGCAAGGAGCAATGGCGGGGCAGGCGTGTTGTTTGCGGGGGGGGGGGGTTCTCCGGGGCACGGGCGCGCTTCGTCCAGAACACTCACCTGCAGGACACGGTGAGCTCCACCTTGGTGGCGGGCACTCTGGTGGGCGCAGTCTCCAAGTCCCCCGGAGACGCCATACCCCCAGCGCCGCCGCCGCCGCCGCCGCCGGGTTCAAGCCGCGCTAGGGGCAAAGGGGGCGCGCTCCATGGGGCGTGAGGTGGCAGCAACGAGGCGCAGGAGGCTTTTTCGATCGGCGCTTTGGCTCGCTCCGTCTACGCCGCTCCCGCTCCCGCTCCAGGTGGCAGCACGTGCGGCTGTTGGGGGAGGGACCGGCGTCGGGGCGTGCGGGGGGAGGTCTCCCCGCCGCCGCTCTCCCGCCCTTTCTCGCTGCCTTGGCCCGTCCCCAGGGGGCGCCCCGCGGCCGCCGAAGCCGCCCGCCCGCCCGTCGGAGCGCCGCCGCGCACGGAGCTGTCCGCGGTGCTGAAGGCGTCCAGGACGGCGCTGCTCGGCCGAGGGAGCGGAGAGCCTGCCCGCCCTGTCCGGGGCAGCGGGGGCCGCGGCGCTCGGGCCCCTCACAGCGCCGAGGCGCGGACGCCCCTTTCGCGGCTCGACGCCCTCGCTTCCTCGCAGCTCCTCCCAGAGAGGGGAGGTGCGGCCGGCGCGCAAACTGGGTAGAGGTCGTGCTCTTCCTCTGCCCACTCCAGTCGGCACTTCGGTTTCCCTACAAAGCGGGCGAGTTTGAAAGCTCCGCCGCTGTTCCGAGGCGTGGGCTGGGCTATTTATAGTCCAGAAGAGGAAGGCGGTGGCGCAGCAGAAGCGCAGCGCGACCCCCGGCCCTTGCCTGGGACACGCGGCCAGCGTCCCTGAAGGCGGGCGGGCGGGCTCCGGTATGGAGCGAGATGGCCGGTAAAGAGAACAAAAGTGGGCCGCGGAATGGGGGAGAAGAGTTACAGGCTGCTCGCCTTTTTGGCCCACTGCTAGCCCGCGGGAGAGAGGCTGCGCGAAGGCTCTGCTGCTGATTCGAGTTAGTCCTGCTAGGCCGGGGAAGGGCATGCTCGATAGCGGGCAGCTGGCCTGCGGGGCGCGTCGCCTCGCCTCCTCGGCACGGCACCCCCGTGCAGGTCTGCGTTCAGCAGGGCTTACGCGCAGGAAAGGAGGCACCGGAGCACAGAAGTCGGCTCAGCAACCAGAAAGCTCGCCTGCTTGCTTGTAGAACTCTGGCTTGTCCAACAAAATTGGAGGGGGGTACCTTGAACTGTTTGCACCTACCTACCTACCAATTGCTGCAGAACCTCAGTAGAACACAGCAAGGGCAAGGGAACAATATTATCATCCGGCCAGTATACATTCACTCAAGGCCCTTTTCATGGGGATACCCGTGACTCTTCCCACTTCGTACTCCACCCCATTTGTTTCTATTGTGCAGACCCAGTTCCTCATCCTTCCTCTGTCTGGAGCCCTTGCGGGTTGAGTAGCAATAGGATTGAAAAGAAGGGCGCTCAGCCCAGCTCTGTGTAAATGCGATTACAATGAAGTAGCCTACACCCTTTAAAAGAAGATATAATTTCCTTTCCATCTACCCAGGCAGTTAATAAAAGACAACATTAAACCAGGTTCACCAGTAGATATGGCATGAAGCACCACCCATCAACAGACTTGGTGGGTCAGTGATAGAAAACGCCATCATCTTCAGGGGCTTATTGGAAAGCAGCCCTATTTATACAAAAGATGGCCACACTTTGCACACCCTCACCAAAAGGAACAGACATCCACGGGGCATCTAATTCAGCCTTCCCCAACCCACTGTTCTTCAGGTATGTTGAACTGAAAAATCAAGCAACTGTAGCAGGACCTATCTGGAGGGCACTAGGTTGGAGAAGGCTGATGCAGTTCAAGAGGTGCTGCTTTATATCCGGGGTAGGTTAAGCTCTCTTTAATCAAAAGCCACAGCTAAGAGCCTGAAGCAGTTTGATTATAAGAGGGAGAAGATTTGAACTTCATCCTTTTCGCCTTTACAAACAAGACTTTATTTTCAGGAAAGAAAGCCAAAAAAAAAAAAAAAAAAAAAGTACTCAAAATAAGAACTAATACCTACAATTGCACAGCAGTATAGAAAAAGCAATAGAAAGGAGATATGGAGTAGAAAATGAACTTTCCAAAAATCTCAGCTTTTCACTTAAGCAAAAAAGGAACTATTCTTTCCAAGTCTGTCTATCTGTTGAGAACTTAGATGTTGGAGTAGCAGTTGGAAAAAAATTTCCACACAATGGTTGGAGATAAGGACTCATTGCCCCTCCAGATGACTAGCAAGACCAAAACCAATCAAGCCAAACAGAATGGCAGAATTAGGCAAGAGGAAAAATATGCAAGCCTGATCAATTTCCATCAATTTATGCAGGTCACAAAATCCAGGTATTTTAAGTACAGGATTTGAATTGCCTGGGGTCAGAACTTTAATTTTAAGCACATTGCCTGAATAGAGCAGGGAGAGTTTTGCTCTAGTTCTGAAGAAGAGTGAGAATAAAATCTTGAACCACCTTAGCAAAACTCTCTCCCTTTTAATGGCTCCCAGTTTGAAAACTGTGACACTACCTAAAGCGGCCTGCCCTGGCCTGGTGTCTTCAAAGCTGCGTCCCCATAACGCTGTGTCAGTATGGCCATTAACCATGCTGGGGCGGGCTGACCTGAAGCATTCCTAGCTAAAGCCTTTCCACAGAGCTCACCATGTACAGAGCAGAGAAAGAAAACACAAATACGACACAGCCAGAGGATCGGGTGTTTTGACACATTTTACTGTAGTGATTTGTCAGAGCTAGCCAAGTCCTGCATGATTACGGGGGAACCCCAGTTCCTCGTGGAGGTCAGCCTGGTTGGAGCTTGCGATCACAGTCGGATGGATCCAGGAGAGCCGGCCGCCAGGCGGGCAGTGTGGCCAGCAACGCACAGGTCAGCATGGCCAGAGGCTCTGGCCCAGCTGGGATCTGGCACTTGGGCTCTCATGGCTTTGAAGGTTCCTTCACCTTTCTGACCCAGATGTGAGGGTACTGACGGCGAGGAGGAGGAGGGGTGTCAAAGGGCGCTACTCCCTCTGAGTCCAACGCCTCGGGCAAATTGCTCTAGAAGGCCACCAATGGCTCCTGACGGGCTCGGCGACACAGACTTCAGGCCCACTGTGCTGTTGTAAGCGGCCAAGAACGCCAAACGTACTTCCTCCAGCCGGGACTCCCTCTCTGTTAATGTCACCAGCCTGTAAGGATAGGAATACAAATAAGTAATAACAGAGAGCTCAGATGTTCAAAGCACTTCAGAAAAAATCCCTATCATGACTTTTCAAAACAAGTGTGCCAGTGGTAGAACAGACTAAGGGATACCTGTCTCAGGCCACCTGGCAAATTCAAAACAGAAACAAAGGACTTTACGGTTCACAGCTCAGCCTTTTATCCATTTGCTCTCAAGGCAGAGGTGAAATAAAGGATGTTACTGATGCACATCCAAGAATGATGCTCACCTCGTAGCCAACTGGCTTCCCTTCCATCTTGTGAAAATACAGGGAAGGCGCACACGCACGCACACGCACGCACAGACTCTAACTTTGATAGAGCACGCTTTCCCATCCATCATGTCTGTGCCTCAACACAAAAGGAAGGGAATTCAGGACCACGGGATGGCTCGGAAGCTGAAGCAGAGGCCCTTCCAAATGGGCGCGCGTGCCCTGCTTGGGCCGCCTCCTGGCTCTAGCACTGCCCCAGCACTTGAGCCGGCTCAGAAGCAGCGCCTGCTCACTGCAGCTGCTTCAGGGACTGCCTGAGCTCTGGGGCCCCCCTCCTGGCTTTCTTGCACTGTTCCCTCCTCAAGCACTGCTGTGCTTTTGTGGGCCAGAATAAGGGAGTGGGCAGAGGGCAAGAGCAGGCACCAGGGGAGACGCTGAAGGCTGTGGCAATGCAGCTGGCTCTTGCTCTGGGGAGGGGAGCGCAGTAGCTTTGTATAAAAAACACCATGACAGCAGGAATCCAGGAGGCCATTAGAATACAGAATTTACATCTCCTTGGTGTGCATTTGAACAGCCCCTAGCTGCATGTTATTGATCAGGAAAAAGTCCCATTCCTCTGCTCTGGCTCCCAGCTCCCCCCCACTCCCCTCCACACTGTACTAAGGAGGGAGCCCAAAGCCAAAGTTCAGCATTCTAGCAAAGGGGGTGGGGAGGGGAAAAGAAAAATACCACGAAATTAAAAATAGAAAATCAAGGAGAAAGACTGTTGGCACTGCCCCCACCCTGACTTTAACCGAATCTGCTCAGCTTCCCTCCCCACCCTAAAGCCCACTGCAGGGAGTGTGCTGTGTTCTGCCGGCTGAGCTTTTGTCAAAAGTGCTTTTGGGATAAAGCCTTCTGGCCAAAAGCTTCCATATTAGTAACGCTTCTCCGGCTCCATTACCCAGGCAATTTCCCACCTTCTTGTCCACTTCTCCTCCTCTTGAAGCTCCCACCCTCCCGCGGGGCCCAAGCTGAGAGCATCGTTTCCAGCGAGGGAGAAGGAGGGGAAAACCCGAAGGATTTCCAGCTGTGCCTGCCAGCCTGCAGCTCCCCCCACTCCCTTCTGTGAAGATGAGGAGGTAGGAGAGACATGCTTCATGCAGAGCAGGCCAAGGCATCCCCTGCGACCTTCCTCCTCTCCATCTGATCTATGTACTCAGGAGGAGGGAGGGGGGAGAAGAGAGAGGAGGAAAGAGAGGCAAACAAGACATTCCAGATGAGAGCCGCACAAAGGGAGATTACAGTTCAAAGGCATCTGTTCCAAGTATTGTAATAAAAACAATCTTTGTCGGGCGAGCACGCACCCACCCTTTCTCCCTCTCACTCTCACCATCTCTCAAAGAGAATAAGACATCCCTTCAAAAAGGTCATCCCAAGGGCATGGCACAAACCAGTCCATCAAGGATGCTCTTTCATCTCCCCAAGCATCTCACAGGCTAGAAACCAGCACTATTAATTTGAATGGAAACAGGCAAAAGCCACCCACTGCCAGCAGCTTCAGGTCCGGAAAGAGCAGCAAGAGGGGATGGGATGGAAAATTCGATTAAAGGCAAAAGCAAAGGCTCAAACAGAAAGGCAGCTGACTGGGCCTTCTCATTTCTCTTGCCTGCCTCAGAGGTGAAAAAGAGCTAATGGGAACAGGAGGGAAATGGCCTCTCTTCCCTCCCAGCCAGAGGAGCAGCCTATGGAACTCCCCGACACAAGGCGGACCGTCTAACATTTCAAGCCAGGGTCTTCACATTTGAGTGGAAGATGTCACAAAATGGTTCTCATGTCATTATTACACTCTAAAAATATGGGCAGACTCAGAGGCTGTGCTAAGAAAGCCCAGGCTCCCTTTGTTTCATTGTGCGCCAAATACTCTGTCGTGCTCCACAGCCAGCAGGCATTACAGTTGAAAAAGAACTGCCCGCCTCCCCAAGGAGTTGAGAGAAGGCAGGGTACAAGGCTGCAGCTGAATCTGCATTTACCCCAAAGTGAACACTATGGAATCTGGCTTCAGGTAAATATGCAAAGTTTGGGTTTGCACGAGTGTTGCAGACACTTGCCAAAATGGTTAGAAAGAGTTCCAGGGGGTGAGGCAACTCCAGAGCAACCCTGTAAGGATCCAGAGAATGCTGAGCGAGGGAAAAACCCCACTGATAATCATGTGGAAAGGAGACCAAAATGGGACAGGAGAACACAGAAAGATTGCATACCAATTATTTAAGTCAAGAAATTATTTTTAAAGGCCCCATTGAGGGGAGTAAGAACAAAATGATGGTGCCCTGAACAGAAGCACTCCTGCCTGTAACATTTTATGGTAGGGCCACCCTTGTTCAGATCTAATACCAGGTATGAACCCCCAAGGATCTCTTTCTTGAAAGAGCAAAAATTCCCAAGCCACCAAGATTATCTGTAGAGCTCACTCCGATTTGCTTGCAAGTACTTGCCCCATATCTGCACCGGCCCCCTTGTGTACACACAGCCACTGCCTTTTCCTCGTGGCCCCTTCCTCCCATATTACAAAACAACAGGCACGTCAGCCGTCGGAAGGCACAACCCCGAATCGGCATGCCAAGGGCGGACGCCCCCAGTTCGGTGCAGGGGGAAGGCGAGCAGCTGGGCACAATCGGCAAGGGGCGGTCCTCCCACCACCGCTCCCTCACAGCCACCCTGATCCCAGCTCAAAGTCTCCACGCCTGCAGGCCATGGCACGGACTGAGTGGCCCCTGCTTACTCGAGTGACCGTGTGATGGGTGGGCTAACAGCTCTTCCTCAGAAATGCCCAAGACACAAGCAGCACTATCAGGGGATTACGCAGGACTCTGGCATTAAGTAGCCACATGCTTCTTCCTCTGGGAAATCACCCATTTCGTGACACTGCAGCATCCAAACTGAGTGGCTGCGGAAAGGCGGGGGGGGGGGGGAGGAGGGAGACCCGGTAGAAGCGGCAGTCCTCTGCTAGGTGGTTGGAAAGACGCCCACAAGTCTTGCATCAAATGGCGGTGGTCCACCCTTGGAATAATTCGGTTTGCGCAGGATATGGCTAGCCCCATCCCACCCCCTGCTTCTTTCTTCTGCCCCCCCAAAAGAGGAGGAGTCATTCAATACACTCTCAGCACGCACAGCTTCCCATTCTAAGCACCGCCGTGATCACATCGCCTCAGTCACGGCACTGCAATTCAGGGGAGCCAAGGCCATGCGTTTGTGGCAGGCCCGGGAGTAATGTGGCCTCTTCTCAACAGGCCAATTTGCAGATGCTAATTCGTATGTGTAGGTGCAAATTCTGAAATCACAATTATAATTAAAATGGCAATGCAGTGCATGTCACCAGTGCGGGGGAGGCTGTGGCTAGGCGACTGCCAGTTCATCTGCCACTCGGGGGCTGGCTGTTGCGCGGGCAGTAATTCTACCGTCCTTTCACTTTAAGCCAGAATCGGACAGGAATGCTGCTCAGACAGAGCAGACTCCTGTGTGTGTTGGACTGCCATGCCCATGATTTCCAGCCAGCATGGCCATGTGGTGCTGTGCTGGCCACTAGCCTAAATGGCTCCTAAAGTGGCTGGGACCAGTGCAGGCATGTGAACAGCCATGAGCCATGGAGGCTCCGCACACTTCTGGTCTCACACCTCGGAAGAGCTACACTTCTGAACAGCAGGGGCTGGGGACAATATTCAAGAGCTGCAGAAAAGCGTGTGATGATCAAACCACACCATTCGTTTTCCAAATAAACAAGGGGCAGGCACCACCCTGGGGAAGACACCAACACTACAATACAGTCACTGTGAACAGACTTCTTGTAGATATTGTTCTGGAAGCACCCACTGGGTTCTGGGAGGTGGGGAATCGAAGTGCTACTATCAGGGAGGTGTGGTGGTCAGAGTGCTGGACTGGGACCCAGGAGATCCAGGTTCTAGTCCCCACTCAGCCATGAAGCTCACTGGGTGACTTTGGGCCTGTCACTTGCTCACTGCCCCACTCACAGGGTTGTTGTGAGAGTAAAAGGGAGCTATGTAAGCCACTCTGGGTCCTGCAAAAAAGGAAAAATTGAGGGATATAAATGCAGTGTGATAGTACTCATGGTGTTCACATGACAACACACCTGAAGCTCTAGATCAGGCTTCCCCAGTGTGAGGATCCCCAAAGCATTGGGTTCACTTCCAAAACACAGGAAGTACTAGCTCCTCTACACTCAGTCAGTCCTCAGTTAAATACTGTGTTTAGTTCCGCCACCTAAGTTTTAAAAAGATGCAGAAAAGTAGAAAGGGTACAGAGGAGGGCAACAAAGGTGATTCAGGAAGTGGAGGCAAAGCCCTATGAGGAAAGATTGAGAGAACTGGACATGTTCAGCCTTGAGAAGAGAAGATGGATAGCACTCTAAAAGTACCTGAAAGGTTGTCATAAAGGACAAGATCTCTTCTTGTCCATTCCAGAGTGCAGGACATGGAAAAACAAACTTAAGTTAGAACAAACCAGATTTAGACTAAACACCTGGAGGGATTTCCTCACTGTCACAGCAGTGCGACACTGAAGCCTCCTACCTGGTGAAGTTGTGGGCTCTCCCTCAATAGAGACATTCAAAAAACATCTGGACAGCTTTAACTGGGGGTCCTGCACCACACAGGGGATTGGACCCACTGGCCCCTTCCAACTCTACTCTTTTATGAGTCAATGGGAATGCTGGGTGCTGTAGGCCAGCATGTTCAGAGGGAAGCAGGCTGGGGAAGGCATTCTTAGTGCACCAAGCCACACCAACCTCCTTATGGAGTGGCTTACATCATCCCCGTTATCCCTTGCTAAACTGTGCAGGAAAGCTGGGCATCTGTGACAGTATTTCCCAAAGACTGATTCTGCTTCCTGCACTGCCTGGCTCCTTCTAAAAATCCTTGCTGCTCAGAACACAGCAGCTGCTTCCCTTGTTGCAAGACCCAAGCTGTGGCCATTTGCCCAGCTGTAGGAGATCTGAATACTGCCAGCCTGGGAAGCTCAGAAGAGCGGGGGGCAGAGGAGGAGGAAGTGTGTATGTGGTGGGGGGTTGGCAGTGTGCTGCCTTTGTACCACACTCTTTCTCCCCACTATGGAATGACTTATGAATCAGACATGTGGGGCCCCAGAATATAGCTCAGTATGGGGACTCCATGTCCTGAATAGGAGTTTGCTCACTCCAGAGGCATCTGTTCTCTTTCACCACTGCTAAAAAATAGGACAAAACTACACATTCTTGGCACATGCATGTTTTCAACCCTGCACTGCAAGTGCTTAGAGTATTGGGGGGGGGGGAGGTGTGCCGAACCCCCTCTATTTGGTGCCATTTGTCCCTACAAATATTTTCTCCTTGTCTCTCCTCCAGCTTGCTTCTGGATTTGAAGTCTAGCTGGCAATAGAAAAGAGCTCTGGCTAGTGCCCAATCAGATTCACTGCCTGCACTCCACTGTCTTCCACTGTATTATTACCCTCAGCTCCCTGGAATAGCAAGGATCTGGCCAAGCTTGGCTTACTGAAGCAACCATATCAGCTGCCCAAATCATAGAATCATAGAATAGTAGAGCTGGACAGGGCCAAGGCGGCCACTGGGTCCAACCCTCTGCTGTGGCAGGTCACTAGTTTACACCATCCCACTCAGATGACAGTCCAGTTTCTTTCTGAATGTCTCTAGTGTGGGACGGCACACAACCTCTCTAGGCAGCTGGTTCCACTGACATATTGCTCTGACAGTGAGGAAACTTTTCATGATATCTACTCTGAATCTGAGTTGTTCCAACTTGAGTTTGTTATTCAGTGCTCCATACTCTGGTATCAGCAAAAAGAGATCTTGACCTTCATCTTTGTGACAGCCTTTGAGGTGCTTATAGAGGGATATTATGTCTCAGTCTTCCCCTCTCAAGGCTGAACATGCCCAGTTCTCTCAGTCTCTTTTCATAGGACAGTGTTTCCAAACCCTGGATCATTTTTGTTGCCTTCCTCTGGACCCTTTCTAATTTTTCTGCATCTTTTTAAAATCTTGGTGCCCACAACTGGGCACAGTATTCCAGGTGCTTAGTAAGGAGTATAGAGGAACTACTACCTCTCGTGATTTGGAAGTAAGACTTCTATTAATGCATGCCAAAATAGCATTTGCCTTTTCGCAGCCACATCACATCGTTGGCGCATTTTAGCCTATTGTCCACAATAACTCCAAGATCATCTTCCTTTTTAGTTCTGTTGAGTCATGTATTCCCCCTTTTGTATTGATGCATTGGTTTCTTTTTCAGAAGTGGAGGACTCAGCATTTGTTATCCCATTATTATTTTGCTTTCAGCCCAGCACCCGAGTTTATCAAGATCACCCCGGATCTTCATTCTGTCTTCCAGGGTGTTTGCTATTCCATCCAGTTTTGTATTGTCTGCAAATATGATTACCCCTCCGTGTACTTCCTGATCTAAATCATTAGTAAGGATGTTGAACAGCACTGGGCCTAGGACTTAGCCTTGCAGCACCTTGCATCTCTAGATTCAACAGAGTGCCAGCCAATATGAACCAGAAGGGATAACCTTCCCTCAAGGGCTCTTTGGAATCCTATTGTTGTTGTTGTTGGTTGCGAAGTCGTGTCCGACCCATTGCAACCCCATGGACAACATTCCTCCAGGTCCTCCTGTCCTCCACCATCCCCCGGAGTCCACCCAAGCTCACACCGACTGCTTCACTGACTCCATCCAGCCACCTCATCCTCTGCCGTCCCCTTCTTCTTTTGCCATCTACTGTTCCCAGCATTAGGCTCTTTTCCAGGGAGTCCTTCCTTCTCATTAGGTGGCCAAAATATTTGAGTTTCATCTTCAGTATCTGGCCTTCTCAAGAACAGTCAGGGTTGATCTCCTCTAGGACTGACCGGTTTGATCACCTTGCGGTTCAAGGGACTCACAGGAGTCTCCTCCAGCACCACAGTTCAAAGGCCTCAATTCTTCGGTGCTCAGCCTTCCTTATGGTCCAACTTTCACAGCCATACATTGCAACTGGGAAAACCAGAGCCTTGACTATATGCACTTTTGTTGGCAGGGTGATGTCTCTGCCTTTTAGTATGCTGCCCAGATTTGCCATTGCTTTCCTCCCCAGGAGCAAGCATCTTGTAATTTCTTGGCTGCAGTCCCCCTCTGCGGTGATCTTGGAGCCCAGGAAAATAAAATCTGTCACTACCTCCATTTCTTCCCCGTCTATTTGCCAGGAGGTGATAGGAGCAGATGCCATGATCTTAGTTTTCTTAATGTTGAGTTGTTGGAATCCTGTACATTGCATCAATCTCCTGGGGCAATCTCCTTCCAAACTGCTCCCTTTTCTTGCAGAGGGAGTGAGTTCAAAACTTGATCCAATCATGACAAGGGAGTAAAGAGTGAGCTATCATCCTTCAGTCCAGTTGAGAAAGCCAAGTCAAGGTGTGTCCCACTGCCCAGACTGGGCCAATTATATAATGGGATAGCCCTAATCCTTGTTGTGGCAGCCATGAAGTCCTAAGCTGCTCCGTCGAGACAAGCATTTGAGAACCTCGCTGCAGGACTGACATTCTGGGAATCTTCAACATGAAGACAAGCTCTGTTAGTTTAGGTGGAGCAGCTACTGCAGAGCAGGATGGACAGTTGCCAGCTCAGCCCCTAATCTAATCTTATTGCGCAAATGGACCCTTTGCAGACAGAAGGGAAGGGGAGGAAAAGGCACCAGGAGCAGAATCCTTAGCGACTGCAGCCACGCCACTTTCTCAGCCATCAACTCTGTGCTGCAGCTGTGGGCATCACCAAGAGATGGTGGCTCCAGCCAGGCTTCCTCAGATGTCCTCCACAACAAATAGACCCCCCCCCCCCCCCCCCCCCCCCCGACCTGGGTGGGGGGAGTTTTTTTTTTTAAAAAAAAAAAAAAAAAAGAGTAGTAGTAACACTCACAGCATACAGGGAATATTATTTAAAAGAAAATG